TGGAACTAGTTTTACGCCAAGAACAAGATAGCGGCGTATGTTTTCGGTTGACATTGGAAATTGTCGATTTTATCGACCCTGGTGGGAAATCTTATGTAATTTTGCTTCCAGTTAAGGTATTTAGAATAGTTAGACGTATCGACCTGTTTATTTTTAACTGCAAAGCTGGATGCCTCTTAAATCGCCCAATACATTAGTGGTGGTGCGAGTTGGTTTGGTGCGAGTTAGCATTGGTGCGAGTTGGTTTGGTGCGAGTTAGCATTGGTGCGAGTTAGCATTGGTGCGAGTTGGTTTTGGTGCGAATCGTGTTGACCTGTGACCAGGTCACCGATCTCCAAATAAAAATAATAGTGGAGTCCATATTTGGGACATAAACACAAAAGTAGCAACAGGTGAGTCTAATTGAAGTTCTATTCCACGGTTAGTGTTTCTTGAGCTTCCAGAATTACTAATCAATGAATTCGTCATTCTTGCACGGGGTGGGGGGTGGGGGTGGTGGCACTTTTGTTTACATGAAACTCCATGCTGTATTTTTTTATCAAACTTAATTTTACAGGAATAATACACACTGGAATAGGTGAACGGCAATTTAATTTATTGCTGTCTGTATTAAATATACCTGGAATTCACCACAAGTCTCTGAAAGAAAGAGAGAGGGAAGCAGGCACTGTTTTATGCAATATTGCTCAGGAGTCATGCAAGAAAATTATAGAAGAAGAAACTTTGAAGACAAAAAAAAGGTAGTTTTACAATATTATCTATTAACCAGCAAATACAATCACAGCAGCCAAATTTACCTGCAATATTGTAACATTTCTTTAAAAATATGAATACACTATTTGATTTTTTTTTCATATTGTATAAAATTTGTTCATATTTATATTTAAATTTTTTTTTTCATTTTCAAAAAGAAACCTGGACTGTGGGCATAACATCAGTGCATCATATGATGCTGGGTGGCAGAAGCGCGGAAGTGGTAGGACTTTTAATAGTTCAACAGGTTAGTGTTTGCATATGGTACATGCAGATGTTCATAACTTTAACTTACCATTGTGATAATTTCCTATTTAGTTATTCTGCATTGAACAATTTGTTCATGCTCAATATTTAATAACAATGGTGTATGTTTACCAAAGATCCTGCCAATTATAACCACAGTAGCCTACCATATCGGAAAGACTTGGCTGGAGCAGAGTTAAGAAGAGTGCTAGATGACTTGTTTAAAAATTTGGCAAAGCAGTCACAGAAGTTAGCTACGTATACACTTGGGAGTTCGCAATCAAATGAGAATATAAATCATGTGTATGCGAGTAAAGCACCAAAGTCAAAGCATTATGGTGGGTCTGAGAGTCTCAAATATCGTTTGAGTGCTGCAGTGTCACAGAAAAACATTGGATATACTTATCCAGCAGAAGTGAGTAAAATGTTATGTTAGCATATTGTAAATGTTTTCACAGTATACAGTATACAAAATAATAATGCAACAGAGTATGTTTTGAAAGATAAATGTTATACAATTTATGAGAGTGGGAACCCTTTTGTTACCACAAGTCATTACTACCACTAGTCATTTAGAACACCTTGAAACAGTGACACGAACACAATCTTTATATATCAAATATACATAGATATCAGTTTTATCAAGAATGAACTGAATAAAATAAAGTCCCTGTACATAAGCAAAACAGTGAAATTATATAAGCTACAATATACCAAACATAAAATAAATATGTATACTATTTTCTCCAATAGGGCAGTTCAATATCGACCACTTGCTATTTCAAAACTGTTTTTACACTGATTATTACTCTTATGTAAGTCATTGTATTGCATAATTGGTTAATAGCAATCTATATCATGTGAATATTCTCTTTACTATTATAATTTCAGGCAAATAAAGAAAATGGTTTATCTCCAGGAATTTTCACCATGTCTATAGCCGATCGCTTTAATGCTTCTGCAACCAAAAGAAAAAATAGAGATAACACTAAAGACATCAAAAAACGAAGACAACATTTAAAGGAAATCAAGTCAGGCAAACAAAATTCACAGGAAAACAGAGAAGGTCAAACATATCTGAGTGGCATTGAATTGCAAGTGTCTTCACCAGATATTGATTTTACTCCAGACCCACCCAAGCCCCCAGTACTACAACAACTTCCTGCTAATGTGATGTATGATGTAATTTATTTTGATTTAGAGACAACTTCTACAGGTAATAGCAACTTTTAAATATTTTTTCAATCCTGTAGATGTCATAATTCTAATATCATTCTGATAATCAAAACATAAAAGTTGTTTCTATATTCTTTTTTTGAAATTAATAGAAATATGAAACATAGTATTTTTAAACAGTACTGTTTTATATAAAAAAAATATATGTACAATACTAACATTATAGCACTAAAACAAAGTCAGAAATATAATGTATATTCTGTTAAATTTCAGGTTTGAATGCTCATATACTCCAGATTGCAGCTGGGCATAAAGATAAAGTCTTCAGTCAATATGTTCATATACACAGACCGATAGCCTCACAAGCGTCTGCAGTGACAGGTTTATCTTTTATAGGAGAACAGTTGTTTTATAGAGGAAAATCAGTTGACACTGTACAAATTAAAAATTGTCTGTTTAATTTGTTGGAGTGGCTAAGTCATTTTAGTCATCCACTACTCATTGCCCACAATTGTAAAGTTTTTGACAGTCGACTGCTTGTATTAGTTTTAATGAAATGTAATCTTTTAGATGAGTTCACAAACACAGTTGATGGCTTTGCAGATTCTTTACCTTTTTTCAGGACACTCTATGCAGACAGACATTCATATTCACAGGAATGCCCACAATGCAATAGATGATGTTGAAGCTCTGCAGTCATTATTTAAAAAATGTGATATTCAGATAGCAAGTATTCTGCAACATAGTTTTGGGATAAATTATACTACAACATCTGTGAATATATCATTATTAAAAAAGAAACACATTTTATCATTATTTCCACTAATAGAGCACAAAGTTTTAAGTAGATGTATGGCTGAACGAATTGCAGCATCTGGTCTCAGTTTGAATCACTTGAGACTAGCATATTCAAGGGAGTATTCTGGAGTAAACCAAAGATTACTCGTGATAGCCGAATCATAAAGAATATTAATGACTATTTAAACACTATTCAATTATGGAGATTTATAACAATTATTTATGATTTTCATGTAATTTGTTCATACTTTCATTATTGTGAATATAAAATATTCTTGTTTCAAGAATTTTACATTTAAGGTAGTACTTCTTATTCTTGAATTACAATTTATTATTACAATTCTATATTCAGCTATGGCTTATGTATGGCCATATAATATTAAACAACTTAGGGGGTCAAATATTTTGCAGTCATGATGGAGGCCTGAAAATTCTGTTTTTAGGCCTAATTTTTACTTCTACCAGGAATACTGGATTGGATACCCCCAATTTTTATTAATTGAAATAAAAGAGCTAAATTCGCTGAGTATTTTATTAAATTTTAAAAGAAATCTGACGAAAACCTTTCTAGATTTAGTAAGGAGAGTAACGTATATTAACAAAAAAATAACCTTGGTATGTTTTTAAAATTGCAATTTTGCCCAATAATGTGAAAAATACTGCACAAATTAGTATTTCAATGGCCAATTGTCAAATTGAGACAATAAAAATTGCGATAAACTGTGTTGATGGTCACTTTTATAAAACTTTTATAGTTATTAATGAAACTTAAAAATCACAATGTATGCAGATTTTGTGTCACTTTTTTGACGAAAAGTAACTCGGTAACCATACATTTTTATTTTGAATTTAGCAATAATATAATGACTGCAAACTACATGGAAAGTTTTATGAAAATCTGGCGAAAATTTTTAAAGGGAGCCAACTACCTTAAATGGGCAACTTACAAATGCCATTTTATGAACTCTTTGCGCACATAACTAAGAGGTATTCGAAACGCCGGAAGTTGGATATAAAAACAAAATGGCAGACGAAAGTTATAAGGGACGTTCAAACGGTCATAAGTAGTTTACATACTGATTTAGAAAGAGAGTGCAGCGATGTCGATTTTTTGCAGCATAAATCAGGAAGTTTGTTACATTTACTTCGGCAGCTAAGGGCCCCTCGGAACGTTTCCTGGATAATAAAAAATGACCTAAAGTGGGATCGGCATAGTTAGTCAGTCGCCGGTAAATTCCCCTACTACTCATATAATAAGAAACAATTATCCCCTAGGGCAGATGAATGTGTTGTTTGTGGAGTCAGTTTTAGAAACAAACTACTAAATTTCATACAACTTACGTTATGAGATTAATGCAGCACATGGATTTTTTTAACATGTTAATTAGTATTTTCTTAGACATGATGCTGTACTATAATTTTTTTCCATATCAGTTTTTTTTTTTTTTTTTTTTTTCGGAATTATTGTCTATGTCTGATCAGAATTGATTCAATCTATTTTTAGTCAGTGTTTTTGATGCAAAATGTCTTAGTTTATATCTTTGGTCACACAAAGAAAAGATCCACCAGATATCTTTAGTATCCATCAATTTGTTATTTAACTAAGATTCTCAACAGGCATTTTAGAATAGTTGTGCTATTTTGATAAACAGTACCATCACAATTAACTCATAGTAGGTAGCCACATATCCCTGTTGAATTCTAAAACTGTGATGAATAGCTGCCAAATACTTTTGTTATTTTTATAAGAGTATTTTCAGTAAATTAGTGATTGACAAACATATTTTCTTTGAGATAAATATTTATTGATACTTAAATAAACCTTGTTCTGTCAATTGTTTTTTTTTAAGCAGATGAACATGTTATGCTTATAAAAACAGCTGGAAAATAAATTAATGGCTTAATATAATATGATAAATATGATAACAGAACCAGGTTCCTCAATTATACATGGGTAGATTAGTGATTTAACCAAATTCAGTTGGCAGGATGGCTTGGACATTGTTTTTTGATAACAGATGTGTTAATGCCTCCTTCTTGCACACCTTAAAGAAAGGGGAAATGTGCACATTTAATATATCGCAATAACGAAATTGACTCGGCAAATACATTATTCACGTTACTGGTTCATGCATATAGATCACAGTCACGGCGTCACGTGAAGACAAAACAATTACTGTTACTCACAGGCGCTCGGACCGTTTAACGGTTAAGAAGGGAGTACCGAGTAGGGGATGTCGTTGAAAGGATAAATACAAATACGAAAATTACTGACATGAAAGCCATAGGTTTGTCAGAGACTCGCAAAAACATTGCCTGGCCATAATATATTAACTCATAATGCAATAGTTAGATCGTTCTGACTGTATCAGTATAAAGTCGAAACAACATGCACGTAACTGATGGTTTATATTGCGTCGCATGCGACTCGTTAACATGATCGGAGACTGCCGCCTCATCTGCGGTAATATAAGGTCATCAAAGTTGAAATCCAAATTATCTCAAATGAATTACATACATCAATCGTGATTGCTCACAAATAATAATTAAGTTTTTGTAAAAGTGACTAAAACTCACGCCAAATTCTGAATCCTCGATTGATTTCACATCGGTTCTAATATCAGGGGTAAATTCTTCCCCACGGGGTTCTCCACACGTGTCAGGGGGAAATCTCGTCTCGTCTCTATATCTCGTCCCCTTGAGGTACGGGATCGGGGAAGTCACTTAAGCTTTACAGTCAAATAAGACACACACAACGAAATACGTTTCAACTCTCGTCTTAGTCGATCAGTCGAGCACTCTATAAGACACAGCGCCCTGGGGAAAAATCCCCAAGACTATCGCAAGGCTGACCCGAGACTCGCCCAAGACTCTCCAGGACTGGACTCTCCACTGCGTCTATCGTGGTGTACTCGCCAAGACCAACTAAAACAACTCTTTATTCATATTCAAAACTCTAACCAATTACAAAACAGTAAAAAGACTCTAGGGCGTAACCTTATCATAAAGCCAATCACACTAAGCACTGAATACGTCATATCTTTTGATTAATCGTTCACTACATTAATAACTACGAATACCAACTGTCAGAATTAATAGTTCGAATAGCTACGGTTATCTCGTAATTAGTTCCAAATCACTGAGCCAAGTTCCGTCCAAAACTTCAAATAGGCCTAAACGATGACAGACATAACAGCAATTCAGCTAATAATCAACTAATTAAGTCGGTCAACAGATACGCGTAAACAAATTCATGACACTAACATTACTTGCAGCCATCTTGAAAAATTATTTCTCAGTACCTATTCACTGTTATAATGCTGTACCATTACTTTCACCATCCTACTACAGCCAGATCTGAAGGCCTTTGCCGCATTCTGGCCACGCTGTGTGGCGCGGATCGCGTGGACGGGTTTCCTGTTCTCTGCACGTAATAAGCTCGGTTATTAAGCATCCTTTTTGGGGGATGCCCGGTGGCCGAGGCGAAGACGTGTAGTGGCGTGAAGCTAGGCGATTAGGTGCCGTACGCGAGCGCCGGATCGAGTCACGCACGCAGTACGTATTTACTATAATTAGACGTAGTCTTTACCTTGCCGTTTATTCGGTGTTATTTGCTTACTTTGAAATAGCCTGGAACGATGAGTCTGGCGCATGTGCAAAGTCAGACAGCTATTTTTGTAAGCCGCACTATGATTGGTCGACAAAACTCGTCGAAAACTGATCTCGTTGTACGAGATTTGTATAGGCATTGAGTCAGATGTAGTTAGAGGCGACTGGGACACAATTTTCTAAGAACTGATTAACGGCAAGAAAAACCAAAAAAATCGACATATTCAAACTAAAATACAAATAAATATAATATAAAGGGTTATATATATATATAAAAAAATATTAAAAAAAAATTGGAGCCTCATACCTTCATCGGATTTTAATCAGATTGATTGAAACTATAAGTATACAACTCATAGTCTTTGCTAGGCATGCGCATATACGCATTAAACCTTCACAAAATTAAAATATATTCCAACGCCAAAATTGACAAAATCAAACATATCAAGCCCACAGTGAAGACAGAATTATCACATTGAATGTGGACCATACCTGAGTTGAACAGGAATCACATAGTTCTTTAGCATCTTCAGCTAAACCACGTGGTAGTAAATCTTCTTCGATGGATCGTTTTTTTGTAGGTTCACATTCACAATTTTCTGCCCAACTATCTCCAAAGACATTAACATTTGTAACCTGGTAGGAATATAAATCACTTCTATAACTTACATACTTTTCGTAAGAGTAAATGCACATAAAAATCCCTATCGTAGTTGTAATATACTGTGAAGAAAAAAACTGTATACAAACGACTGTAATATACATGTGTATCACATCTCACTGCTGTTACGCATGCTGTGATTGGTTGAGACTCAGTCACATGACATTGATTAAAAATGGATATGTATGTATATTACATGAATGACGTCACTGAAAGTACTGCGCAACGATACTGCGCATAACAAATTGTCGTTCGCTCCACTGGTGCTGCCCCGGATGCTGTAGTTTTCGGGGCTGCTTTCAAGGTTTTGAAGGAACTTTATCCATCCGAAATAGACAGCAAAAGTGCTAGAATGCACATAAAGTAAGATACTCTGTTTTGATGTTTAGGATATTTTATATGAAGCAAAAATGTACGGCAAGGCCGTCGGGGTCGTTGCGGCGCATTCTACGCTGTGAGCATTTTTACGTGTTCTACGCCGATGCTAACCGAAAACTGTGTGAAAGCTGTGTGACTTGTGAATAGAAGGTGTGGTACTTTGATGCGAAAGTAATTTCAGTCACTTCCACGGCACTCTGGCTTTTTTATGATGAGATTGATCAAATAACTTGCGTTTGAGAATTTCTCAATTTATTTCAAAAATGTTATTCTCGATGAATGGAGTGATTCACACTGCTGAAACACGGTTATTGAAAAGAGTATCCGTGGCTGATTATAACATTTAGTGTATTTCATATTTTCAGCAAACAATGTATGTGTGTTATTAAGTAGTGTGAAACTTGTTATAATAGATAACATATTGCCTGCTTCAAATATTAGTGTTGTTATTTTGTGGGAGAGCGGGTGTGAGTGATGTATGGTAGATGTGATTGTGCATGGCTGATGTCTGTCTGGC